AAAAAGACTATATCACCTAGTGTGTTACATTTACAAAAACAAACTCATAGCATAAATCAATAATTCAAATGAATATTATCTAACATACATCTAAACTTAGTTATAAATTTCACATAGATAAAAGGCTTTACAAAACTATTGTAAGTAATAAATTTCACATCGATCGGAAACTTTACAAAATATGGATCGTAGCTAGCATATGTACGCTTTTTACAAAAATAAATATAAGATTCAAACTCGTTCTTTTTTAGAAAACCTAGGAGCGCCTCATCACTTTCCAAAAAGTCCTTGTATCAACTTGTATGTATCCCCAGTAAAGAGTAAGCACTACAATCTACTAATTTATGAAAATAAAAAAAGTTAGTATATTAGTAAAAGAAAATTTATATAAATATATCAAAACACTTTTAAATTGAAATTACCTTGTTACATCCTCATCGAAGCAATCTAATTGTATTTATCTTTTTGAGCTCCATATATTTTTTAACCCAATCCTACAAAAGTCGACACATATAGTAAAATATTTTTAAAATAACAATTTGTAATCAATAGAAACAAATTTATCAATAAATAAATTGTACCTTTTGACAAAAGTGGTTTGATCCATAAGTAACACTATAACAAAATTTCAGGATAAACAATATTTGTAGTAGAATCTGACTCATCATTAGGAAGGAGGACACATATATGATCAAAAGATGTGCATCTGGATAGGGCCACATACAATTGCCCATGACTAAACACTGGTATGCGCAAATCAACTCCAACAAATTTCACAGATTGCTTTTGAGATTTATTAATGGTCAGGGCATATGCCAATCGAACTGGAAATTGACGTCTTGTCATTCGGAAAGGCATTTCTGAAGAAGACGGCGTCAAGGATATCCTTGGTATAAATACCAAATTGTCAAATTTTTCTCTAGTTAAAATTTGAGCTTCAATTATGCGAGTATTGCATCTAGAAACCATCAATCTTGTGCCATTGCACAGTCCATCTTTTGGTGCAATATTTCTTAACAACATTATGGGACAACCCACTTTCAACTCTAGCTTAAAAGCCGGTAGCCCAGGAGGATCTAATGAATTTAAATATTCATTAGGATATTTATTTATTATAGTATGATCAATTTCATCATCTTCAGACATCTTGTCTGCTGCCAAATAAGTATGTGTGTTACTGGAAAAAATATTCAATGCTGCAGTATTAATGGCACTGACATCATCATTCCGTGCAGAAAGAATTATACGTTCAGTTAAAAATGTGGCAGTCGATGTCATTGCCATATCCAGTTGCGGATAAACTACTGAGATTATGTCTTTTAGATCTTGGCATTTGTGTATTGTTGATGGAAGTTTAATAATTTCTTGAGGATTAGTCCCAATCTATTTATGAAAATAAATAAATAAAATAGTAAGAAAAATCAATTAAAGTACATAAATGTAAATGTATTTCGTCAATTTAAAAGAACCATATAATAGAGAAAAATTTTGAAGAAATATTACCTCCATCAAGAAGTTTGCAAAATTAGCATTTCGAAGATTTGCATGATTCAAGCGCATGTTCAAATTTAAAGACAGAACATGTATATCCTTCCATAGAAAAAAGTGTCTTAATGATGCATTCACAATTTGCTCACGAACTCCTTTGGTTATAATTGGTAAGATTTGCTGAAAATCTCCACCAAGAACAACAGTGATACCCCCAAATGGCTTTTCACTATCACAAGTGTCCCGAAGTGTGCGATCAACTGGCTCAACACAATGTCTATGCTGCATAGGAACTTCATCGCAGATTATAAGTTTTGTTTCTCTAAACAATTCTGCTTGTAATGATTGCTTGCTAAATCCACAAATTGAATTTTCCAATACATCCAACGGAATGGAAAATGTTGAATGAGCAGTACAACCTCCTACCAATAACAATGATGCAATTCTAGATGAAGCCACAGTAATAACAATATGGCCAACGCTACGACACTTCAATGCAATCGCATTGTACAAAAACGTTTTCCTTGTTTTGGTACCTCAATTCAAAAAGAAAATAGTTCCTTTATTTTCAAAGACTGAGGAAGTGATTGCATCATAAGCTGTTCGTTGATCATTGTTGAGGCGATCAATAATAATTTCTACATCTGCCTGTTGTGCCTCATTCTGCAGTTGTTGATGTTTGAATATCAACCTGTTACCAACTACTGCACTCTAATTTGTAGAAGGTTGTGGCATTGGCAGGAAGTCAATTAAACTTTTTCCTGATTCTTGGAGCATTTGATTCAAAAGATATAGACCATAATCTTAAATTTGATTCTCAATTGGTTCAGAAATGGCAAACAATGTTTGAATCTTATGTGCAAGATCATCACATATATGCATTGAAAATTGATTCCATAATACATATGGTTGCAGTGGAGAGCACTGAGTAAGAATAATAGTAAACAATCTCCTTAATTGATAACCAGTTTTCATAACTGCAGCCTCTTTAAGGCATTGTATCCATTCTTCATCATCTTCTAAAAGTCCTCTTGCAACACATGCTGATTTAAATGTATCATGCAAAACATTGTTGACCGTGCGTAAACATTGAAACGATTTTGGTCCTTTGACAACAGTTAATAGCAAACGCAAATAAAATCTCTCTCCACAATTAGGGCTAGCAAAGTACATTCTACCGATTGCATAGCCATGCTGCCTTAGTTTCCATCTCTTTTCTGAATTAAGCCAAACAAAACGTTGTGGAAATTCTTGGTAAGTGAATAGACATTCATCTTCCATAGAAGCGCAACATGCAAAAAAACCAGTAAGAGTTAACATTTGTTTCCCAGCTCTAGAAACAATTGCTTCTAATGATTCATCAGGATTAAAAAAAAAAAAACGGTTCATTGCAGGTAAATAAAGTGCCAAGCGTGCAACTATTGGCATCTCTGCATGTAATGGATGATCACATATTCACCAAGAAGCTTCTGGAGGTCCAATAAACCTCATATCGAGATATTGTTGGATCTCATTTATCAATCCCAACACCATCATTGTAC